ACAAAGAGTCAAACCGTTCAGCAAGAAACCCTTAAACATTAATCTTCCAGGCAAGGCTTCCATGGGACAAGAACAAGAACGTAGCAGGAATCTGAAACGATGCTTCATCTGACTATATTTCCTATGATTGAAGCTTTATATCCCCACGTTAAGACTTAGAAATGGGTTTCGTTTTCCCTGAATGCTTCTCATCCTTATCTGCCAAAGCCTAACCGGACGCCAAAGCCCTTGGCCGGGCTGTCTGTTTTGGCTAATTTCCACCAGACTAGAATCATAGAATCATAGAATCCTAGAATTGGAAGAGACCTCCTGGGCTATCATCCAGTCCAACCCCATTCTGCCAAGAAGCAGGAATATTGCATTCAAATCAGCCCTGACAGATGGCCATCTAGCCTCTGTTTCATAGCTTCCAAAGAAGGAGCCTCCACCACACTCCCTCCGGGGCAGAGAGTTCCACTGCTGAACGGCTCTCACAGTCAGGAAGTTCTTCCTCATGTTCAGATGGAATCTCCTCTCTTGTAGTTTGAAGCCATTGTTCCATTGCGTCCTAGTCTCCAGGGAAGCAGAAAACAAGCTTGCTCCCTCCTCCTCCCTGTGGCTTCCTCTCACATATTTATTATACATGGCTATCATATCTCCTCTCAGCCTTCTCTTCTTCAGGCTAAACATGCCCAGCTCCTTAAGCCGCTCTTCATAGGGCTTGTTCTCCAGACCCTTGATCATTTTAGTCGCCCTCCTCTGGACACATTCCAGCTTGTCAATATCTCTCTTGAATTGTGGTGCCCAGAATTGGACACAATATTCCAGGTGTGGTCTAACCAAAGCGGAATAGAGCATGGGGAGCAGGACTTCCCTAGATCTAGACACTATGCTCCTCTTGATGCAGGCCAAAATCCCATTGGCTTTTTTTGCCACCACATCACATTCCTGGCTCATGTTCACCTTCCTGTCCACGAGGACTCCAAGATCTTTTTCCACACGTCCTGCTCTCAAGTCAGGCATCGTCCCCCATTCTGTCTCTTTGCATTTTGTTTTTCCTGCCAAAGTGGAGTATCTTGCATTTGTCCCCGTTGAACTTCATTTTGTTTGTTTCTCCAATAACGTCCAAAGAAACAGGGAAACGTTGACCCAAAGCATGAATAGGTAATCGCAAGAGACAAAGAGTCTAAGTGTTCAGCAAGAAATCCTTAAACATGAATCTTCCAGGAAGGCTTCCAAGAGACAAGAACAAGAACGTAGCAGGGATCTGAAATGATGCTTCATCTGACTATATTTCCTATGATTGGAACTTTATATCCCCTCGTTAAGACTCAGAAATGGGTTTCATTTTCCCTGACTGCCTCTCATCCTTATCTGCCGAAGCCTGGCCGAACGCCAAAGCCCTTGGTTGAGCTGTCTGTTTTGGCTAATTTCCACCCGCCTGTCTATATGCTCATTAGTTTCTGCAGGTGCCGAGTTGTTTTCAAGCCCCAAATCCTGGGAACTCTCTGGGAGCAATTCAGGGAGTAAACCATCATCCCTATACCCTGTAGGAACATTCTCATGGGAAACTACACTTTGAACCGGTGTCTCTCTGTCATTCTCTGCATTAATATCATTGCCATCTTGACCCTCATTGACATCATTCTCCATATCTAAAACACCTTGATCTTCAAACACAAATCACAGGCTGAACTCCAACACCTCTCCCAATTTAGTTTGAGGCTTCTCTTGCTCCAGCTGTATTTTTTGCCTGGGGTCCACCCTGTCCCGGTTCCCTCTGGATTCCTTCTTCTTGGTTCTTTATTTGTTTATCTTCCATTTCTCCTTCCATTTCTTTCCATGTTGTTTGGCTCCTCCTTCTCATCTTGCTTTTCCAATTTCAATGGGCAGTGGTTTCGTTGTGCCAAGGAGAGTGCTGCCCACCCACTCTGCTCTTTGGGCCTCATTGGGCATGTATTTTGGAACCGGCCAACGTGCCCCTTTCTCCCCATCCTCTGCAGGTCCCCTGAACACCTTGGCGATTGTGGCCCTGGGGGCCGGCATCACCTTCATCATGTTTGGCGTCTCCAGCTTCCTCATCTTCAGGTGAGAAGAGAGACACCTCACCCACACACATTATTAAGCCATCCTGGCGGTGGGCTGGGGCTTCTCTTGGAGGTTGGGTCCCAGATGTTTCCATCCCGGTGACCCAATTTCATATTGGGGGGCTGTGGCAGCCAGAGCATCAAAGCATGGCCAGCTCACCTGCCTTCCCCTCCTTCACACATCACAAATCACAGTTGTGGGAAGAAGTGTTGTGTCTATTCAGCACCTTGCCTTTGGGCAACTGTGTCATGGGGTCCATCCAGACAGTACCTTTATTCCAGGAGCTTCCGCAGCAAACAGGAGAGTGGCCAGATGCAGTTCTGTGTAAGCACAGAAGCCATTACTACAAATGGGTTGTTGTAGGCTTTTTTTGGGCTATATGGCCATGTTCTAGAGCAGTGGTTCTCAACCTTTCTAAAGCCGTGACCCCCAAATTCAGTTCCTCATGTTATGGTGACCCCCAACTCTTTGATTCTATGATTCTATGATTCTATGATCTGATATGCAGGATGTATTTTAATTGTTACAAATGGAACCTAATTAAAACATAGTGATTAATCACAAAAACAATACATTTGCGGGAGTATGGAGGATGGGATTTGCAGTACCTTCAACCGATTCAGGTCTGACTTCCACAGACCACTGAGACCCCCCACAAATTACAGAACTGGACCAAACTTGGCACAGAGAACCCACATGACCAACAGAAAATACTGGAGGTCCCCAAATGGAGAGGAGGAGGAGGAAGAGCCCAGAGGAGAAGGGCGAGTGCAAGCCTCACTGATCCTGCTGCCCCACGCTCCTCTCACCCTTTTTGAGGCTTCCACCAGCAGCCTTGAAGGGGACAAGAAGAGGGTACTTCCGGGAGTCAGAGGGGGCGGGGCCAAAGGAGGCAAACTCGCGACCCCTCTGAAATGGCCAGACGACCCCTCGGGGGGTCGCGACCCCCAGGTTGAGAACCGCTGTTCTAGAGGCATTCTCTCCTGACGTTTTGCCTGCATCTATGGCAAGCATCCTCAGAGGTAGTGAGGTCTGTTGGAATTAGGAAAAAGGGTTTATATATCTGTGGAATGATGTCCAGGGTGGGACAAAGGACTCTTGTCTGCTGGAGCTAGGTGTGAATGTTTCAACTGACCACCTTGATTAGCATTTGATGGCCTGGCAGTGCCTGGGGCAATCTTTTGTTGAGAGGTGATTATATGTCCCAGATTGTTTCCTCTCTGTTGTTTTGCTGTTGTAATTTTAGAGTTTTTTAATACTGGTAGCCAGATTTTGTTCATTTTCATGGTTTCCTCTTTTCTGTTGAAATTGTCCACATGCTTGTGGACTTCAATGGTGTCTCTGTGTAGTCTGACATGGTGGTTGTGAGAGTGGGAACCACTGACTGCATAGGGAAGCTGATGAGGAAACACAACAGACAAACCACTTACAGACCCACCAAGAAAATCCAACAACTGCTCCGTTCAGCAAAGGACAAGAGGGATCCTCTCACCTCTGCAGGAGTCTACCAGATACCATGCAGCTGTGGACAAGAAGTCTACAGCGGGACCACCACACGGAGGAGCATTGCCCAGTCACGCATCAAGGAACATGAAAGGCACTGCAGACTACTTCAACCAGAGAAGTCAGCCATAGCAGAGCACACAATGAACCAACCTGGACACAGCCTATTACAACAGCACAACAACAGAGAGGAAACAATCAGGCATCTAATCACCTCCCAACAAAAGATTGCCCCAGGCACTGCCAGGCCGTTAAATGCTAATCAAGGTGGTCAGTTGAAACATTCACACCGAGCTCCAGCAGACAAGACTTCTTTGTCCCACCCTGGGCATCATTCCTGTTTCTGCTGTTGTAATTTTAGAGTTTTTTAATACTAGTAGCCAGATTTTGTTCATTTTCATGGTTTCCTCCTTTCTGTTGAAATTGTCCACATGCTTGTGGATTTCAATGGCTTCTCTGTGTAGTCTGACATGGTGGTTGTGAGAGTGGTCCAGCATTTCTGTGTTCTCAAATAATATGCTGTGTCCAGGTTGGTTCATCAGGTGCTCTGCTATGGCTGACTTCTCTGGTTGAAGTAGTCTGCAGTGCCTTTCATGTTCCTTGATTCGTGTCTGGGCAATGCTGCTGCGTTTGGTGGTCCCTATGTAGACTTGTCCACAGCTGCATGGTATACAGTAGACTCCTGCAGAAGTGAGAGGATCCCTCTTGTCCTTTACTGACAACAACAACAACAACAGAGAGGAAACAAACAAGGACATCTAATCACCTCTCAACAAAAGATTGCCCCAGGCACTGCCAGGCCATTAAATGCTAATCAAGGTGGTCAGTTGAAACATTCACACCTAGCTCCAGCAGACAAGAGTTCTTTGTCCCACCCTGGTCATTCCACAGATATATAAACCCTTTTCCTAGTTCCAACAGACCTCACTACCTCTGAGGATGCTTGCCATAGATGCAGGTGAAACGTCAGGAGAATGCCTCTAGAACATGGCCATATAGCCCGAAAAAACCTACAACAACCCAGTGATTCCGGCCATGAAAGCCTTCAACAATACATTGTATGTGCTATGTTGATGGCATGGCACCCTATTGACGCCCCCTCCATGTGTCCTCTGTTTCCCAGGAAGCTGATGCTGGAGAAGGAGCTGGCCAGCATGCTGTGGCGCATCCGCTGGGACGAACTGCAGTTCGGGAGCTCCGAGCGCTACTACAAGGGGGCCGGCAGCCGGCTGACCCTCTCCCTGGTGGGTGCCCTGGCTCTCGGGGTGGTGGGGGTGATGGGTCTCCTCCTTCCAGCTCATGCACTGATCCCGCTCTTCTCCTCTCCTCTTCTCCCCCAAACCCAGCGAGGGTCCAGCTACGGATCGCTCATGACGGCACACGGCAAGTACCAGATCTTTGCCAACACTGGACTCTTCAAGGTGAGTGTCTTACCTCTCCGTTATCTTCATTGCTTGGGAGACCCCCTGGGCTGGGAAACAGGACAGAAATGCGACCACTGAACGCAGAGGGCTGGCTGTGTCCATCCTCCTACAGCAGTGTTTCTCAACCTGGGGGTCGGGACCCCTGGGGGGGAGTCACGAGGGAGGTGTCAGAGGGGTCACCAAAGACCATCAGAAAACACAGTATTTTCTGTTGGTCATGGGGGTTCTGTGTCGAAGTTCTCTGGATGTAGATGAACTACAACTCCAAAACTCAAGGTCAATGCCCACCAAACCCTTCCACAGTATTTTCTGTTTGTCATGGGACACTGTGTCCACAGTGTTCTCTGGATGTAGGTGAACTACAACGCCCAAACTCAAGGTCAATGCCCACCAAACCCTTCCAGTATTTTCTGTTGGTCAAGGGAGTTCTGTGTGCCAAGTTTGGTTCAATTCCATCATTGGTGGAGTTCAGAATGCTCTTTGATGGTAGGTGAACTATAAATCCCAGCAACTACAACTCCCAAATGTCAAGGTCTATTTTCCCCAAACTCCACCAGTGTTCAGTTGGGCATATTGGGTATTTATGCCAAGTTTGGTCCAGATCCATCATTGAGTCCACAGTGCTCTCTGGATGGAGGTGAACTACAACTCCCAAACTTAAGTTCAATGCCCACCAAACCCTTCCACAGTATTTTCTGTTGGTCATAAGAATTCTGTGTGCCAAGTTTAGTCCATTCTATCGTTGGTGGGGTTCAGAATGCTCTTTGATTGTAGGTAAACTATAAATCCCAGCAACTACAACTCCCAAATGTCAGGATTCTATTTTCCCCAAACTCCACCAGTGTTCACATTTGGGCATATTGAGTATTTGTGTAGATTTTGGTCCCTGTACGGTTCCGGTCCAGTGTATCTGTCCGAACGTATCTCCCGCTACGTCCCACCTCGGAGCTTGAGATCATCTGGGGAGGCCCTGCTCTCGACCCCACCACTCTCACAAGTGAGGCTGGTGGGGACGAGGAGCAGGGCTTTCTCAGTGGTGGCCCCTCACCTGTGGAACTCACTCCCGGGGAAATCAGAGCATCACCATCCCTCCTCTCCTTCAGGAGGAGGGTGAAGACTTGGTTATGGGACCAGGCCTTTGGGCAACCAGGCAATTAAAGACCAGCAGGATTGACAAAATGGTATTAAAAATGGATCTATGAGACAGCAAACACTGACAATGTAAGGGAGGAATCTAGGTTTGTATTGATTTTATTGATTTTATTGATTTTTACTGGAATAATGCATGAAGCTGTTAGTAACTGTGAATTTTACTGTAAGTTGTGATGGTTGTTGTGATGCTGGCATCTAATCGTGCCTTTACTGTGTAAGCCGCCCTGGGTCCCCTTCGGGGTGAGAAGGGCGGGGTAAAAGAACCCCAAATAAATAAATAAATAAATAATAGATAGTTCATTGTTTGAGTCCAACGTGCTCTCTAGATGTAGGTGAACTACAACTCCCAAACTCAAGGTCAATGCCCACCAAATCCTTCCAGTATTTTCTGTTGGTCATGGGAGTTCTGTGTGCCAAGTTTGATTCAATTCCATCATTGCTGGAGTTCAGAATGCTCTTTGATGGTAGGTGAACTATAAATCCCAGTAACTACAGCTCCCAAATGTCGAGGTCTATTTCCCCCAAACTCCACCAGTGTTCAAATTTGAGCATATTGAGTATTTGTGCCAAATTTGGTTCAGATCCATCATTGTTTGAGTCCACAGTTCGAATCATAGAATCAAAGAGTTGGAAGAGACCTCATGGGCCATCCAGTCCAACCCCCTGCCAAGAAGCAGGCATATTGCATTCAAATCACCCCTGACAGATGGCCATCCAGCCTCCCTCTCTGGATGTAGGTGAACTACAACTCCCAAACTCAGGTCAATGCCCACCAAACCCTTCCAGTATTTTCTGTTGGGTCATGGGAGTTCTGTGTGCCAAGTTTGGTTCAATTCCATCATTGCTGGAGTTCAGAATGCTCTTTGATGGTAGGTGAACTATAAATCCCAGTAACTACAGCTCCCAAATGTCGAGGTCTATTTCCCCCAAACTCCACCAGTGTTCAAATTTGAGCACATTGAGTATTTGTGCCAAGTTTGGTCCAGATCCATCATTGTTTGAGTCCACAGTGCTCTCTGGATGTAGGTGAACTACAACTCCCAAACTCAAGGTCAATGCCCACCAAACCCTTCCAGTATTTTCTGTTGGTCATGGGAGTCCTGTGTGCCAAGTTTGGTTCAATTCCATCTGTGGAGTTCAGAATGCTCTTTGGTTGTAGATGAACTATAAATCCCAGCAACTACAACTCCCAAATGTCAAGGTCTATTTTCCCCAAACTCCACCAGTGTTCACATTTGGGCATATTGAGTATTTGTGCCAAATTTGGTCCCGATCCATCATTGTTTGAGTTCACAGTGCTCTCTGGATATAGGTGAACTATAACTCCAAAACTCAAGGTCAATGCCCACCAAACCCATTAGTTTCTGTTGGTCATGGGAGTTCTGTGTGCCAAGTTTGGTTCAATTCCATCATTGGTGGAGTTCAGAATGCTCTTTGATCGTAGGTGAACTATAAATCCCAGCAACTACAGCTCCCAAATGTCAAGGTCTATTTCCCCCAAACTCCACCAGTGTTCAAATTTGAGCATATTGACTATTGGTGCCACGTTTGGTCTAGATCAGTAGTTCTCAACCTGTGGGTCCCCAGATGTTTTGGCCTTCAACTCCCAGAAATCCCAACAGCTGGTAAACTGGCTGTGATTTCTGGGAGTTGTAGGCCAAAACCTCTGGGGACCAACAGGTTGAGAACCACTGGTCTAGATCCTTCATTGTTTGAGTCTACCGTGCTCGCTGGATGTAGGTGAACTACAACTCCCAAACTCAAGGTCAATGCCCTCAAACCCTACTGGTATTTATTTTTGGCCATGGGAGTTCTGTGTTCCAAGTTTGGTGTCATTCCCTCATTGGTGGAGTTCAGAGCGCTCTTTGATGGTAGGTGAACTATAAATCCCAGCAATTACCACTTCCAAGCAATTACCACTTCCATTGACAAAATCAATGCCGCTTCCAACCCCTCCAGTATTCAAATTATTAGATATTTGGTCCAGCGAATGAAAATACATCCTGCATATCAGATATTTACATTACGTAAACATCATTACATATCGTGTAATGTCATAGCAAAATGATAGTTATGAAGAAGCAGCAAAAATAATGTGATGGTTGGGGGTCAGCACAACATGAGGAACTGTAACAAGGGGTCGCGGGATTAGGAAGGTTGAGAATCACTGTCCTAATGTGTCCTTGGGCTCTTTGGCTGCTTTCTAGGGGAACGTCGTGGCCATCAAACATGTCAATAAGAAGCGCATTGAGCTGACGCGGCAGGTGCTCTTTGAGCTCAAACACGTAGGTACCAGGAGCAAGACCATAGGGTCTCTGGGGGGTAACTGGGGTCGGGGATGGGGCCCTACCGTGACACTCAACGCAGGTATCGTGGCCTCCTTGGTGGCTGCCTCACTGCCTCTGCATATCTTTAATGCACCTCCCTCCTCTCTCTGCCCGCCTCCAGATGCGGGACATCCAGTTCAACCACCTGACCCGGTTCATTGGGGCCTGCATTGACCCTCCCAACATCTGCATCGTGACCGAATACTGCCCTCGGGGTAGCTTGCAGGTGAGAAGGCCGGACAAGCACAACTTCAAAATATATTTATTGAAGCCAAAAGAAATCCATTCTAGATAGAAAAGGGTCTTGGAGCTCACTTCTAAGGAAGGTAAAAGGATAAAATATCAAAGGTGTCCATGCAGCTACACTTTGCCTGGAGAAAGGCAAAATGCGTCCTCACTGGAAGGAAGGCAAAGGCAGAAGAAGAAAGGGCAATGGAGAATGACTACATGGCCAACAAGCCAGGACAATAAAAATACCTTTAAAGAGGAAGTTTTTATGATTTCATGTGGTGAGCCAGGATAAGCTTCCCTTGAACAGGATGGAACAGGATTGCAGAGACAGAACTTTAGGTTCAAAATATTTATCCGAGAACAGAAATCCATTCTAGATAGAAAGGGTCTTGGCGCTCATTAGCTCGCTAAAACTCATATTCTAAGGAAAGTGAAAGGGTAAAAAGTCAAAATATCCATGCAGTTATATTTTGTCTGGGGGGAGGCAAAATGTGTCCTCCCTGGAAGGAAGGCAAAGGCAGAAGAGGAAAGGGGAATGGGGAATGACCACATGGCCAACAAGCCTGGGAAATAAAAATTCCTTTAAAGAGGAAGTTTTTATGATTTCATGTGGTGAACCAGGATAAGCTTCCATTCAACAAGATGGCACAGGATTGCAGAGTCACAACTTCAGAATATATTTATTGAAGTCAAAAGGAATCCATTCTAGATAGAAAAGGGTCTTGGAGGTCATTAGCTCGCTAAAACTCATCTTCTAAAGAAAAAAAAATATCAAAAGTATCCATGCAGCTACATTTTGCCTGAAGGGAGGCAAAATGCGTCCTCACTGGAAGGAAGGCAAAGGCAAAAGGGCAGTGGAGAATGACCACATGGCCAACAAGCCAGGACAGCCCTTAAAGAGGAAGTTTTTATGATTTCATGTGGTGAGCCAGGATAAGCTTCCATTCAACAAGATAGATCAGGATGGCAGAGTCACAACTTCAAAATATATTTATTGAAGTCAAAAGGAATCCATTATAGATAGAAAAGGGTGTTGGCGCTCACTAGCTCGCTAAAACTCATATTCTAAGGATGGTAAAAGGGTAAAAAGTCAAAATATCCATGCAGTTACATTTTACCTGGAAGGAGGCAAAATGTGTCCTCACTGGAAGGAAGGCAAAGGCAGAAGAAGAAAGGGCAATGGAGAGTGACCACACGGCCAACAAGCCAGGACAATAAAAATAGAGGAAGTTTTTATGATTTCATGTGGTGAGCCAGGATAAGCTTCCCTTGAACAGGGTGGAACAGGATCACAGAGACAGAACTTTAGGTTCAAAATATTTATCTGAGAAAAAAAATCCAACCTAGATAGAAAAGGGTCTTGGAACTCACTTGCTCACTTCTAAGGAAGGTAAAAGGATAAAATATCATCTTCTAAGCAAGGTAAAAGGACAAAATATCAAAAGTATCCATGCAGCTACACTTTGCCTGGAGGGAGGCAAAATGAGTCCTCACTGGAAGGAAGGCAAAGGCAGAAGAAGAAAGGGCAATGGAGAATGACCACATGGCCAACAAGCCAGGGCAATAAAAATACCTCTAAAGCGGTAGTTTTTATGATTTCATGTGGTGAGCCAGGATAAGCTTCCCTTGAACAGGATGGAACAGGTTGCAGAGACAGAACTTCAGGTTCAAAATATTTATCCGAGAAAAAAAATCCATTCTAGATAGAAAAGGGTCTTGGAACTCACTAGCTTGCTAAAACTCATATTCTAAGGATGGTAAAAGGATAAAATATCAAAAGTATCCATGCAGCTACACTTTGCCTGGAGGGAGGCAAAATACGTCCTCACTGGAAGGAAGGCAAAGGCAGAAGAAGAAAGGGCAATGGAGAATGAACACGCGGCCAACAAGCCAGGGGAATAAAAATACATTTAAAGGGGAAGTTTTTATGATTTCATGTGGTGAGCCAGGATAGGTATCCATGCAGCTACACTTTGCCTGGAGAAATGCAAAATGTGTCCTCACTGGAAGGAAGGCAAAGGCAGAAGAAGAAAGGGCAATAAAAATACCTTTAAAGAGGAAGTTTTTATGATTTCATGTGGTGAGCCAGGGTAGGTATCCATGCAGCTACACTTTGCCTGGAGAAATGCAAAATGCATCCTCACTGGAAGGAAGGCAAAGGCAGAAGAAGAAAGGGCAACATAAAAATACCTTTAAAGAGGAAGTTTTTATGATTTCATGTGGTGAGCCAGGGTAGGTATCCATGCAGCTACACTTTGCCTGGAGAAATGCAAAATGTGTCCTCACTGAAAGGAAGGCAAAGGCAGAAGAAGAAAGGGCAATAAAAATACCTTTAAAGAGGAAGTTTTTATGATTTCATGGACTCTCATTGGCTTTGAGGTCCATTGATTGTGCTTCTCGTGCATTGGAAGAAGGGGTTGGACTAGTCCAGGCATGGGCCAACTTGGGCCTTCCCTCCAGGTGTTTTGGACTTCAACTCCCACAATTCCTAACAGCCTACCGGCTGTTAGGAATTGTGGGTGTTGACGTCCAAAACACCTGGAGGGCCTAGTTGGCCCATGCCTGGACTAGATGTCCCATGTGGTCTTTTCTCTGGCAGGACATTCTGGAGAACGAGAGCATCAACCTGGACTGGGTCTTCCGCTACTCCCTCATCAACGACATCGTGAAGGTGAGCCAGGTGCAAGGTGTGCTCCTTGGAGGCATTCCAAGGCCAGGAGCAGGCCTCCAGCGTGGACGTCCCGTCTGCTGGGCTTGGGCCAAGCCAAGGGTCTCCCTTCCCTGCCTGTCCCCCTCCCCTCCCTCCCCTCCGCTGTCCACACCTGTCTTACCTGTCCGTCCGGCGCAGGGCATGGCCTTCCTGCACAACAGCATCATCGGCTACCACGGCAGCCTCAAGTCGTCCAACTGCGTGGTGGACAGCCGCTTCGTGCTCAAGATCACCGACTACGGCTTGGCCAGCTTCCGCCAGAGCAGCGAGAGCGAGGGCAACCATGCCTTGTATGCCAGTGAGTGACCCCCGCGTTGGGTACCCTCCTGTCCCCCACTTCTGACCCACAGCGGTCAGTGGAGCATGACCCTTTGCCCCTTACCTTTCTCCTGACCTCTACTTGAAGGCGTAGGAAAATCAGTTTTAACCAGGCAGGAGCAAATTCCAGCCCTCCAGGTGGTTTTGGACTCCAACTCCCACAATTCCTAACAGCCTCAGGTCCCTTCTTTTTCCCCATCAGCCACTTAAGCTGAGTGCTGGGCCCATAACCAACCTCAGGTTCTGTTGCCTCTTCAGAGTGCAAGGAAGCTTTCTCTATAGCAGGCATGGGCAAATTCTGGCCCTCTGGGTGTTTTGGACTCCAACTCCCACCATTCCTAACAGCCTCAGCCCCCTTGCTTTCCTCCCTCAGCCACTTAAGCTGGGTGCTGGGCCCATAACCAACGTCAGGTTCTGTTGCCTCTTCGGAGTGCAAGGAAGCTTCCTCTATAGCAGGCATAGGCAAATTCCAGCCCTCTGGGGGTTTTGGACTCCAACTCCCATCATTCCTAACACCTCAGGCCCTTTCCTTTCCCCTCCTGTGTGTTTGTTTTGAAGGCCAAGCTAGGTACTTCAGCCAGCACCAACTGTAATTGCTGAAGCCCATTCGCTCTACTGTTGGCACTAGAACAGACACGAGCAAACTAGAGCCCTCCCTCCAGGTGCTTTGGACTCCAATTCCCACCATTCCTAACAGCCTCAGACCCCTTCCTTTCCCCCTTCAGCCGCTTAAGCTGAGTGCTGGGCCCAGGTTCTGTTGCCTGTTCATAGTGCAAGGAAGCTTCCTCTACAGCAGGCATGGCTGGCCCTCTGGGTGTTTTTGGACTCCAACTCCCACCATTCCTAAGAGCCTCAGGCCCCTTCCTTTTCCCCATCAGCAGCTTAAGCTGGTTCAAACACTTTGAAGCAGTTGAATATACTAATTTAAGGAGGCTCAAAACACAATTTCTTGCAGAACAAGCAAAACAAGAGCGTGTGTCCCTTGCATCCTGGGTCCTTCATGAGCATTTTTGCAGGTTGCACCAGAATGCAACAGGAGACACTTCCATGCTGCAATAGGCAGGCTGAAGCAGCATTGCAATTGCCAGGAAGGCTGTTGCAACGATGCTTTGCAATTGCCTTCCTTTTAGCTTTTGTATGCACGCTTTTAGCCTCTGTCATGTGGATGAAACCAGTGTTGTCTCCAATTTATTTACTATTTACTATTTATTTAGTATGTATTGTCGAAGGCTTTCATGGCCAGAATCACTGGGTTGTTGTAGGTTTTTTCGGGCTCTATGGCCATGTTCTAGAGGCATTCTCTCCTGACGTTTCGCCTGCATCTATGGCAAGCATCCTCAGAGGTAGTGAGGTCTGTTGGAACTAGGAAAATGGGTTTATATATCTGTGGAATGACCAGGGTGGGACAAAGGACTCTTGTCTGCTGGAGCTAGGCGTGAATGTTTCAACTGACCACCTTGATTAGCATATAATGGCATGACAGTGCCTAGAGCAAACTTTTGTAGAGAGGTGATTAGATGTCCTTCACAGCATTAAAAGGGAGCCACTGGGTTGTTGTAGGTTTTTTCGGGCTATATGGCCATGTTCTAGAGGCATTCTCTCCTGACGTTTCGCCTGCATCTATGGCAAGCATCCTCAGAAGTCGTGAGGTCTGTTGGAACTAGGAAGAAGGGTTTATATATCTGTGGAAGGACCAGGGTGGGACAAAGGGCTCTTGTCTGTTGGAGCTAGGTGTGAATGTTTCAACTGACACCTTTCAGTCAACACAGAGAAGCCATTGAAATCCACAAGCATGTGGACAATTTCAACAGAAAGGAGGAAACCGTGAAAATGAACAAAATCTGGCTACCAGTACTAAAAAAAAACCTCTAAAACTACAATAGCAAAACAATAGAGAGGAAACAAATAAGGACATCTAATCACCTCTCAACAAAAGTTTGCTCCAGGCACTGTCAGGCCATTATATGCTAATCAAGGTGGTCAGTTGAAACATTCACACCTAGCTCCAGCAGACAAGAGTCCTTTGTCCCACCCTGGTCTTTCCACAGATATATAAACCCCTTTTTCCTAGTTCCAACAGACCTCACTACCTCTGAGGATGCTTGCCATAGATGCAGGTGAAACGTCAGGAGAGAATGCTAAAGGGACTGCCAGGCCATCAAATTCTAATCCAGGTGGTCAGTTGAGACATTCACACCTAGCTCCAGCAGACAAGAGTCCTTTGCCCCAACCTGGTCTTTCCACAGATATATAACCCTTTTCCTAGTTCCAACAGACCTCACTACCTCTGAGGATGCTTGCCATAGATGCAGGTGAAACGTCAGGAGAGAATGCTAGAGGCACTGCCAGGCCATCAAATGCTAATCAAGGTGGTCAGTTGAAACATTCACCCCTAGCTCCAGCAGACAAGAGTCCTTTGTCCCACCCTGGTCATTCCACAGATATATAAACCCATTTTCCTAGTTCCAACAGACCTCACTACCTCTGAGGATGCTTGCCATAGATGCAGGCGAAACGTCAGGAGAGAATGCCTCTAGACTATTTATTTAGTATATTTGTATACCGCCTTCTCCGCCCTCAGGCGACTCAGGGTGACCAATAGGGCCTCTGGTGGGAGAACTTCCTACAGTTGGGGGCCACAGCAGAGAAGACCCTGCTGTGCTATTGTGCAACCCTGTGAGATATAGTGGGCCAGTACTATACCCTAACTCGACTTCTCTCCCCGAACTCGACTGCAGAGAAACTATGGACGGCCCCAGAGCTGCTGCAAAGGGGGCAGCTGCTCCTCTCCCCGCTGGCGATGCAGAAGGCCGATGTCTACAGCTTCGGGATCATCCTGCAGGAGATTGCGCTGCGCAATGGGGCCTTCTACGTGGAGGGCATGGACCTCAGCCCCAAGGGTGAGGAGGACCCCCATCCCCCCTCTGCTGTGTCCACCAACTGGGGCACGAAACAGAGCTGGGGGGCTGCCTCTGAAATAGGTTTGTGGGGAGGAGGTCTCCATTCCCAGGTGGCCCCTCCCTCTCTCCTTCCTTCCTTCCTTCCTTTGGGTCACATCCTGCCCTTTGCAAAGCCATGGGGGGTTTGTGGCTGGTGGGCACTGAATGTTAGTCCTCCAGGTCTTTTGGACCTCAGTTGGTAGAACTGTAGAGTCAGGAGGGACCTTCAGAGGCCATCCAGTCCAACCCCCTTCTGCCAGGCGCTCCCAACCAATGGCCATCCAGCTTCTCAAGAGAAGGAGACTCTACCAGCCTGGATGATGGATGCCTGGCTTGACAACAGATCCAGTTCTTTAAGCCTGCAGAAGAGAAGTTGAGAGGAGACATGATGAGGGCCAGGGATCAAGAGGAGAGACTGGGAGAGTCTTAGGGAGGAGGGAGCAGGCTTCCTTTCTGCTGCCCTGGAGACTAGGACTCAATGGAGCCATTGGCAAAAAAAGCCAATGGGATTTTGGCCTGCATCAATAGGAGCAGAGTGTCTAGATCCAGGGAAGTCATGCTCCCCATGCTCTATTCCGCTTTGGTTAGACCACGTCCTGGAATATTGTGTCCAATTCTGGGCACCACAATTCAAGAGAGATATTGACTCTAAGCTGGAATGTGTCCAGAGGAGGGCGACTCAAATGATCAAGGGTCTGGAGAACAAGCCCTATGAGGAGCGGCTTAAGGAGCTGGGCATGTTTAGCCTGAAGAAGAGAAGGCTGAGAGGAGACAGGATGAGGGCCATGTATAAATATGTGAGAGGAAGCCACAGAGAGGAGGGAGCAAGCTTCCTTTCTGCTTCCCTGGAGACTAGGATGCGAAACAATGGCTTCAAACTACAAGAAGGAGATTCCATCTGAACATGAGGAAGAACTTCCTGACTGTGAGAGCTGTTCAGCAGTGGAACTCTCTGCTCCGGAGTGTGGTAGGCTCCTTCTTTGGAGGCTTTGAAACAGAGGCTGGATGGCCATCTGTCAGGGGTGCTTTGAATGCAATATTCCTGCTTCTTGGCAGAATGGGGTTGGACTGGAGGATGGCCCAGGAGGTCTCTTCCAACTCTAGGATGAACTTCCTGACTGTGAGAGCCGTTCAGCAGTGGAACTCTCTGCCCCGGAGGGAGTGTGGTGGAGGCTCCTTTTCTTTGAAGCTTTTAAACAGAGGCTGGATGGCCATCTGTCAGGGGTGATTTGAATGCAATATTCCTGCTTCTTGGCAGAATGGGGTTGGACTGGATGATGGCCCAGGAGGGCTCTTCCAACTCTAGGATTCTATGATTCAGGATAGGAGATTCCACCTGAACATGAGGAAGAACTTCCTCACTGTGAGAGCTGTTGAGCAGTGGAACTCTCTATCCCGGAGTGTGGTGGAGGCTCCTTCTTTGGAGGTTTTGAAGCAGAGGCTGGATGGCCATCTGTCAGGGGTTCTTTGAATGCTATTTTCCTTCTTCTTGACAGAATGGGGTTGGACTGGATGATGGCCCACCAGGTCTCTTCCAACTCAATGATTCTATGACCTCTCCCACAGCGGAACTCTCTACCCTGGTGGAAGCTCCTTCCTTAGAAACTTTTAAACTGAGACTGGATGGCCATCTGTTGGGGGTGCTTTGATTGTGCTTATCCTGCATAGCGTTGGAAGAGGTCCATGAGGTTTCTCCCAACTCTATGATTCTGTGACCTGTCCCACAGGGGAACTCTCTGTCCTGGCGTCTGGTGGAAGCTCCTTCCTTGGAAACTCTTTAAACTGAGACTGGATGGCCATCTGTTGGGGGTGCTTTGATTGTGCTTATCCTGCATAGCGTTGGAAGAGGTCCATGAGGTTTCTCCCAACTCTATGATTCTGTGACCTGTCCCACAGGGGAACTCTCTGTCCTGGAGTCTGGTGGAAGCTCCTTCCTTGGAAACTCTTTAAGCAGAGGCTGGATGGCCATCTGTTGGGGGTGCTTTGATTGTGCTTATCCTGCATAGCGTTTATAGAGATCCATGGGGTTTCTTCCAACTCTATGAGTCTATGATTCTGTGACAGCACCTGGAGTAGCAAAGTTTGGGCATGGCTGGTGCCCTCAGCAGAACCTTGAAGGTGGTCTTCACCTGGGGAGGAGGGAACCACAGAGGACACTTGGCATGCCTCGTGGGGATGGGCACACAGGAGGAGGAGGGTGTGCTCATGCTGGGAACCAATGTGCCCCTCGTTGAGGGTCTTCTTGTGAGAGAGGGGCTGGCAACCTCCCAGGTGACCCCAGGGCTTCTCAGACTCCTCCACAGACCTCCATCTCCAGGTGCTGGACTACATGGTTGGGCCTGTGGCTTGTCTCTCTCTTGGCTGGGCTTCTTCTTCTCCGTCGTCGGTTGTGACGTCCAGTGACGCTGCCCCTTCTTTTCTATCTGTTCCCCAACCACATCTCCCCCCCTCGCTCACTGTGCCGCCACCGTCCGCCACAGCCTCGCCGTCCAAGCCCTGCGGGCGGCTCATGCACTCATCCTCATTGTCTCCATGGTCCAGCGGCCATCCCTCACCACCGCCTTCCCGCCCCATAAGTGTCTCTCCATCCCACCGGTCTGCACATTCACTCCTGTTGCCCCCCCGCACCCGCTTCCCCCCTCACAGAGATTGTGCAGAAGGTGCGCAACGGCCAGCGGCCACACTTCCGGCCCTCCGTGGACCTGCGGCTGCACAGCGAGGAGCTGGCCCTCCTGATGGAGCGCTGCTGGGCCCACGAGCCTGCTGACCGGCCCGACTTCGCCCAGATCAAGATCTTCATCCGACGCTTCAACAAGTGGGTGCTGGCAGATGAAGTCCACAATATCCTCCTTCCTCCAGGTGTTTTGGACTCCAACTCCCATGATTCCTAGGAATGGTGGGAGTTGGAGTCCAAAACACCTGGTATCCAAAACTCTAGAGCAGTGGTTCTCAACCTTCCTAATGTGGTGACCCCTTAATACAGTTCTTCATGTTGTGGTGACCCCCAACCATAACATTATTTTCATATTTTTGCTCCTGTTATGAATCGTCATGTCAATACCTGATATGCAGGTTGTATTTTCATTCATTGAACCAAATTTGGCACAAATGCCCAATAGGCCCAAATTTGAATACTAGTGGGGTTGGGGTGGGGGGAGATTTTGTCATTTGGGAGTTGGAGTTGATGGGATTTATAGTTCACCTACAATCAAAGAGCATACTGAACTCCACTAATGATGAAATGGAACTAAACTTGGCATACAGAACTCCCAGTACTAACAGAAAATCCTGGAAGGATTTGATGGGCATTGAGTTTTGGAGTTGTAGTTCACCTGCATCCAGAGAGCACTGTGGACTCAAACAATGACCAATCTGGACCAAACTTGGCATGAATGCTCAATATGGCCAAATGTGAACAGTGATGGCGTTTAGTGAAAATAGACTTTGACATTTGGGAGCTATAGTTGCTGGGATTTGCAGTTCACCTGCAATCAAAGAGCATTCTGAACCCTACCAATGATAGAATTGAGCCAAACGTACCAAACAGAAGCCCCATAGTCAACAGATGGTCTTTGGTGACCCGTCTGACACCCCCCTTGCGACCCACTCAGGGGTCCCAACGATGGCAAAAGCGTGAGGCAGGTGAGGGGCCTTTGCACAAGGTCAGGCCTCGCGCCGAGATCCCCTCGCCTGCCTTATGCCCTCGCCAAATGGCGAAAGCACGAAGTCAGGCCTTGCGCGAAGGAGCTCTTGCCTCGCGACCCCTCCAAATGGCCAGGCGACCCCCCTGGGGGTCGCGATCCCCAGGTTGAGAACCGCTGCTCTAGAGCAAATTATTAGGGCGAAGATATGGATGCAGCCTAGAAAGACACTGCTTTTTGAAGGGCCACTCCTGGTGCATGTTCAGCATGTGGTCCACTAAGGATGTTTCCCAACCAGTATTACTGAACGGAGGCTGTCGTCTGATCTGCTCCTGCAGAATTCTGGGAAATGTAGTTTAGGTAAGCCAAGTGTCGCACGCCAGGGCTGGAGATGCACCTTTGAACCCAAAACCACACCAGAGTTCTTATAAGCAAAGCAGTTCATTGAAGAGAGACAGGACCTTCTCGGTGGTGGCTCCTCGGCTGTGGAACTCCCTGCCTAGGGATATTAGATCGACTCTCTCCCTCCTGACCTTTCAGAAAAGAGTAAAAACCTGGCTCTTTGAGCACGTTTTTGGAACTTCAGCATGACCAGATAGACGCACATTGGAATATGAACAAGGAACAGCTAAGACGATGGAACCGGTTGAGGAATTGAACAGGAAGACATATTTTTATAATTTTTATTGTTTTTATTTCTTCTATGTTTTTAAAATGTTTTATGATATATTTTTTTTGCTTTTAACTGATGTATTTATATACGGCATCTAATTGTTGCCCTTTTGTACGCCACCCTGAGTCGCCTTCGGGCTAAAATGGGTGGGATAAAAGTAACGTAAATAAAATAAATAATAAATAAATAATAAGATTACTATAGCTTTAAAAGGTAATAGTAAAATGTCCATAAAAACAGTCAGTTGAACAAGGTAAGTCGTCCAGTCAGCATCAAAGTCAGGAAACAGGAATGTCCCAAAGTCCAGTACACAAATCCACAGGAACTAGAGCCTGTTAAGTCCAAAATAATCCAAGAAATCAAAGTCCCACAAAGTCCCAGGATCAAACTTGAGCAATAAAATCCAAAGGCACGAACATGGATCCAAGGCAGGAAACAAACAGGAATCTCAGAAAGGCATGAATACAAGGCGTGGAGCATAAGACATGGTTGCACTTTGGTCTCACTAAAGATTATAGTTTCACAGGCCCTATATTTATTCACAAAGCCATGGCAAAAGCATTCCATTTCCCTTGGGAAACCTCTCCCTGACCCCTCTTCTCTCTCAATCTTTCGGATTGCCCCTCCCTATTTCCAGGTGGCGATGTTGATACGAGGGTTGAATGAAAAATAATGCCTCCACCTTTGTAACTCCTGGTATGCTGCAGGTACTGGCTTGTTCAGTAGACTCTCTCCTACAGTTCCATTTTGGCGGGAAGCCTTAGCATTGAACGGTTGTGTTGTTAAAGTGCAAAGTATGGAACCCTGCACAGACAGTCAGTTAATGCGACTTAAGCAACGTGCAGTCATTGAATTCTTGATAGCAGAAGGTGTCATGCCAAAGGAGATTCATCAGAGAATGCAAGCTGTTTACGGTGATTGTGTTGATGTGAGTACTGTGTGTCGCTGAGCGAATAAGTTTAAAGATGTTGAGGTGGGAACATCTGACTTGTGTGACAAACAAAGAGTTGGACGTTCTGTGACAGCAACCACCAAGTTTCACAAGCAAAAGGTTGACTGATTGATTCAGGACGATCATGATTGAGGATAATCATGTTCCCAATAACGAAAGAAGATCTGTGGGGACATCATTATGCTTCTGATGAAGACGTTGAGAGAACTGTGAGACACTGGTTGTGGAAACAGAGTGTCGACTTCTTCCGTGACAGCTTCAGAAAACTTGTTCATCATTGGCAGAAATGTCGACTTCTTCCGTGACAGCTTCAGAAAACTTGTTCATCGTTGGCAGAAATGTATCCAATTGTCTGGTGATTATGTGGAAAAGTGAATCGTGCTAGTTAAAGAGCACATTCTAAGGATTATTTCTGCGTTTGATTTATTAAAATATTCCCATCCAAACCCAAGTAACGAAGATGGAGGCATTACTTTTCATTCGATCCTCGTATTTCTGACTCCTGTCAAAGACTGTCTCCTTTAGTTTGCCAATTACTGCATTCCTTTCACATTCCAACCTTGACTGCTCAAACGTTCCCTCAACCTCCTTGTCTGCCTGCAGAAAAGCATCTTTGGCTTGCTGGCTATCCCAGAATCCTTAGTTTCACTCTAGCGATCAGCACTCTCTCTCTCTCTCTCTCTCTCTCTTTTAAATAATTTTTATTAAGGGGTATTTGGGGTACACCATTAATGTCAATAGAATTTGTTTACATAAAATTGGTTACAAGGCTGTGTGAAAACGGGGGAAATGAGGAGGGGAAGGAAAAGGAAGAAAAAGAAAGAAAAGAAGAAAAAAGGGGGGAAGAGCGGGAAAATCGGGAAAGAGAAAGATGAGATGCGAGTAGGCGGGATTTGGATTGCCTCTTAATGTCTGCAATGTATTTGTGTTCATCCCGTCATGTCCTCCTGGCTGTTCCCAGTTTGAAAAGAACAATGACAAAGAATGTGCGCTTTTGGCAATAGATGCCGAGAAAGCATTTGACAACCTAAATTGGAATTCTTTTATATTACTCATGCAAGAACTAGATTTGGGATACTATTTCATAAATTCCATCACATCAATATACAACAAACAGGAAGCCATGATTTGTATTAACGGGCAAACAACAGAACATATCCAAATACAAAAAGGGACATGTCAGGGATACCCTCTATCCCCGCTAATATTTATCATGGTGTTAGAAATCCTTTTGAACACAATAAGAGATGACAACACTCTAAAAGGTGTGAGAATAAGGAAATATTCGTATATGCTCCATACTTTCGCGGATGACATAATCTGTATAATCGAGAACCCTCTAGAGACCATTGACAGATGGTTAGGGAAAATCGACAAATTTGGATTGCTATCAGCACTCTCTTGACCAACATACACATTTCCAATCCCCTGAAAGTCAGCAGGAACGTAATCATTTAATTCAGGCATTGCAGACTCAGGCATTGAATCCTCTGCAGAATCTTGATCATTTTCCTCAGAAACTTGATCATTTTCCTCAGGAGCCTGAGGCAAAGAAACAATTACAGGCTGAAACCCTACACCAAGAACCTTTCTAGCAGATAATTCCAAAGGCTGCACCAAACTACATTTCCCAGTATTCTGCAGATCGGACATTAGCCTCCGTTTTATAATGTCTGAAAACTCCTAGATCCCTTTCATGTGGAAGTTTGCAAAGTTGCATGCAGTATGTCCCTACGATCAGACAATGGCTTCTGCTGGTGAGAAGTAAAGTCCTAAGGCTCCTAGATCCCTTTCATGTGGATTTTTCCAAAGTGCAAAACCTTTCTGGGGTTATGTCTTCCAATGAGAGAAGGCCCTGTTTGCATGTTGAGCATGGAACCATCACTTGCACGCAGCATCTCCCTCCACCGGTTCTGTTTGATGGTGAAAAGGGCTCCTGGAAATGGGGACTCTCAGGTGGGAACAGGGTCACCTTAACCTGTTCCTCTTTCTCCTGTGGATATTGTGTGGCTCTGGTGKCCTCCCTTTACTCTTCAATGCTGCCCCCCCCCCCCACTTACAGGGAAGGCAGCACSAGCATCCTGGACAACCTGTTGTCGCGCATGGAGCAGTACGCCAACAACCTGGAGAAGCTGGTGGAGGAGCGCACCCAAGCCTACCTGGAGGAGAAGCGCAAGGCCGAGAACCTCCTCTACCAGATCCTGCCCCAGTGAGTCCCCGCCCGGGAAAGCGACCCTCGGCCCCCTCCCACCTGAGCCATTGGGGCCAAGGGGGTCGTCACCTGGCCGCTCACCACCCCTCTTTCTCTGACCCCCTCCCGACCCCAGCTCTGTGGCCGAGCAGCTCAAGCGCGGAGAGACGGTCCAAGCGGAAGCCTTTGACTGCGTCACCATCTACTTCAGTGACATCGTGGGGTTCACCTCCCTCTCGGCAGAAAGCACCCCCATGCAGGTAGAGTGGGGCAGAAGGACACCTTTCTCTTGAGGATTGCACCAAGTTTCTTTCTCTTCCTTTTTTCTCTGTCTTCCCTTCCTTTCTATTGTTTTCTTTTCTTCATTCCCCTCATACCTTCCACACTTTCATTTCCCTCCCTCTCACTTTTGCTTCCTTTTTTCTTTCCTCCTTTCCTTCATCTTTCCCTCCTTTCTTTGTTCTTTCCTTTTTTCTTCCCTCTTTTTCTTCTTTTTTGCTCTTTTTCTTTACTTCCTTGCTTCCTCTTTTCCTTCCCCCTTCCCTCTTCTTTTCTTCCCTTTTTTCTTCTTCCTTCACTTCTGCTCTTTTCTTCTTTACTCCTTCTTCTCTTTTTCCTTCCTTCCTCTTCCTTCTTTCCTCCCCCTTCCTTCTCTTCCCCTTCATTCTTTCCTTCCTCTTTTTCCTTCCTTCCTTCTCTTTTTCTTTCTTTCTCCTTCTTTCCCCCTTCTTCCTTCCTTCCTTCCCTTCCTTCTCCCTTCCCTCCCTCCCTCCCTTCACTTCCCTCCCCTCCTTCCTTCTTTTCTTCCCTCTTTCTTTTCTTCCTTCACTTCTGCTCTTTTTTCTTTCTTTACTTCCTTGCTTTCCCCCTTTCCTCCTTCCTTCCTGCTCTTTCTTTCACTTTCTTTTTTTCTTTCATTCTTCCTTTCTTCCTTCTTTCTTTCCTGCCTTCCTTTTCCCCCTTCTATCTTTTCCTCCCCTTTGTTCCTCTTTCCTACTTCCTTCTTTCTTTGTTTCCTGATGCCTTCCTTTTCTTCCCTTTTCCTCCTTCCTCCTTCCTTCCTTCCTTCCTTCCTTCCTTCCCTCCCTCCCTCCCTTTTCCTCCTAAACCTTTTCTTCTTCCTAAACCTTTTCTCCTGACATTTCCCCTGCGTCTGTGGATACTGACATCTCCAGAGTATTTGATGGCACTTGTTTACACTTGTTTAAGAGACAATGGTTCTCTCCTCCCACTCTGGACAGTCTATAGGCATCTATACTCTATTTGCTTGACTCTAATCAGATCCTCTGAAGATGCCAGTAACCACAGATGTTGGCGAAAAATCAGGAGAAAGTGCTGCTAGACCACATTGGCCATACAGCCTCCTTTTGAGGCCTGGAGAGCATTCCCTTCCAGGTCCCCTAGTGAAGTCTGTGCTTCCTTCCCATGGGTCCTTTTACCTGTGGGACTCATTCCATGCCCACAGCCCCCGTCTCACCTGAGCTCCTTCCCCTCCTCACCAGGTGGTGACCCTCCTTAATGACCTCTACACCTGCTTTGATGCCATCATCGACAACTTTGACGTCTACAAGGTGAGTCTGCGGAAGGTGGAGGCCCTGGTTGGGGTCCGTGGGAAGGGACTGCTTTGAGATATCGCTCTGTCCCATCCCCCCCCCCCCACAATATTTCACAGGTGGAGACCATTGGGGATGCCTACATGGTGGTCTCAGGGCTGCCGGTCCGGAATGGGAAGCTACATGCGCATGAGGTGGTGCGCATGGCCCTGGCCCTCCTGGAGGCCGTCACCACCTTCCGCATCCGGCACCGGCCGGGAGAACAGCTCCGCCTGCGGGTCGGCATCCATTCCGGTGAGTTATGGGGGGCTGCAAAGGGGTGCATTGTTGTGCCCTAGCCTTCACTTCACTTCATTTCTTAATGAGTGGCTCTCCACCCAGGTGCTCCGAGCGACTTACAATTTAAAATGGCATTTACACAATATAAAAACATTCAGCATAAAAACATTCAGCAGTGACTATGGCAAAATTTGATCCGGTTACTTAAATTCACGACCAAACAGCCAAGTCTTGAGCGCCTTTGCAAAAGGTCGCAACTCCGACATTGCTCTAATGAGTTCCACAGAATTGGAGCATTGATCGAAAAAGCTCTTCGCCTTGTAGCTTCCAAATGTGCCTCCCTAGGACCTGGTATGTATAGCAGATTTTCCTGGGTGGATCGAGGTAACCACTTATGGAAAAGGAATGAGGCGGTCCCTAAGATAGAAAGGTCCTTGGCCATTTTGAGCTCTCAATGTCAGGATCAGGATCTTGTAAGAGATCCAATGTTCTATGGGTAGCCAATGCAGTTGTTGCAGAATCGGTGTGATATGGGATCTTAGAGACGATCCCGCTAGCAGCCTGGCTGCCGCATTTTGGACCATCTGAATCTTCTGGGTTGTTTACTTGGGAAGGCCAGCATAGAAGGCGTTGCAATAGTCCAACCTCGTGGTGACTGTTGCGTGGATGACCGTTGCCAATGCTTCTACCGAAAGGTCGGATGCCAATTTTCTTGCCTGGCGAAGATGGAAAAAGGCCTGCTTCCTTCTGGCCGTGATCTGGGCCTCCATCGTCAGCGATGAGTCCAACACAACCCCTTTAAGGCTTTTCACAGGGGCAAACGGAACCAGAGCTTCCCCATCGAAATCAGGCAGAGACTGGATTGATTCTGGTGGCTGGCCGGGCCAGAGGATCTCCGTTTTTGCAGGATTCACTTTGAGTCTGCTCGCTCGCAGCCAACTCATCACTGCTTCCAAACACAGCCTAAAGTTCTCAGGAATCGCGGTTGTCCCAGGTTCGAGACGCAAGAGTAGCTGGGTATCATCTGCATACAGGTAGCCTTGAGGCACCTGTTCACCCAGCATCAAACCAGAGGCCAATAGTCCAATAACAAAGTGTTTATTGAAGAAAGAATATAAAAACAGGGAAAAGGGTTATATCCAAAAGTGCCAGTCAGGATATAACCTAAAATAAGTTCCTTAAAAGTAATTCAAGAACGCTAAGGAAAAATCGCAGAATCACAGAGGCTAAAAATCCAAAAACAGCAATAGTCCAAGGTAATTCCATGAGCATGAACACTGGAATCTCTTCCAGGCAAAACTCTTCAAGGTTACATAGGCAAAGACAGGAACATGAAACATGAATCTTGATATTTCAAAAACCAGGGACTTGGAAACCTGGTAACATGAACTGTTTTCCCCTTTAGCAACGTTGTCTGCTCTGAAATGCCTGAAACTAAAGCACTTAATTTAAGCAATGCAGATTCCCATGAAATCATGTCGAAGACACCTGGATTTGGAGGCCTTTTCTTGGAGGTGCTGGGAAAAACCTAGTTGGTCTGCTTTTCATGCCCTGCATTCTGAGATCTAATCTACACTTCCTTGTGACTTCTACCCCCCCCCCCCATCTTCCCAAAGCCTTTTCTCCAGGGAAACGGCAGTTTCACTTTCCCTGGTTCCAAAGGAACGATGTCAAGTATGCAAAGCATCGTTCAGGTCAGCCTGACCTGTCTGCGATTCTCCCTGAACGCTTTCATTTTGAAACCACTCATCCTCAGAATCCTCTGACACTTGCTAGACTACAACATGTATGGGGAGCTCTCCCGAAGGGCAGTGGTAGCAGAGGGATCCTCGAGAGGGCAGCCCCCTACCCATGTCATCCCCCTCTTCTTCCTCCCGTGCAGGACCCGTGTGCGCCGGGGTGGTGGGCCTCAAGATGCCCCGCTACTGCCTCTTCGGAGATACTGTCAACACCGCCTCCCGCATGGAGTCCAACGGCGAGGGTGAGCCTTCTGCCCGGTGTTGTTATTTTGGGGAGGGGGGATCCCCACTGATCTTACCGGCCCCCTCCCTCCATTTGGCAGCGGTTGGAGTAGATGGCCTCTTCCAACTCCATTATTCTATGAATACTGTGTCCAGTTCTGGACAAAGTAATTTGAGAAGGAGGTGGACCATTTGGAAGAGGGCCAGAGAAGGGTCAGAGATGTTGGACAGTGGAATACGTTGCTACCTTGGGGGGTCCGGTGGACTCTCTTTCTCAAGGGGTTTTGAAGCAGAAGTTGGATGGCCATCTGTTGGGAGGGCTTTGGTTGTGCTTTCCGTGCCTGGCAGAAAGAAGAGAGCTGGACTGGATGGCCTTTGGGTGCCCCGTTCCAACCTTTATTTTCCTATGATCCCATTGTTTAGCCCTGAGGATCCACGTCTCCTCCTGCACCAAAGAGATCCTGGACGAATTCGGCTGCTTCGAGCTGGAACTGAGGGGGGACGTGGAGATGAAGGTGGGGGCCCTTCATTCACCCACTGAGGGGGAGGGGGCGCACCAGAGACCCCACCCCACACTTTACTCCTATGGGGTTGTCTCAGGGTGTCCACCTTGGTCAAGTTTATGCTGTGGGTAGGTGGGGGGGGCATGGGCAGAAGGGCCTTTGTAGTGTTTGGGGAGGGGGCTCAGTGCCCGTGACCCCTGACCCCTTTCTCCTCGTTCCCTGGCAGGGCAAGGGGAAGATGCGGACGTACTGGCTGCTGGGGGAGAAGAACGTGGTGGTCATCTGAGGCGGCCCCCACCCCCTCCCACCTGAGAGACCCCCCCATTTGGGGCACAGAGCAGTGGCTCCACCCACTGAGCGCCTGCCGCCGCCGCCGTCACCAGGACTCCCTTTCCTTGGAGCACGAGCCCCCTCCCCAGCAACGATAGCGAGAGCGCGCCAAACGCAAACGCCTTGGAGCAATAACGCCCCCCCGCCAAGAGAGAGAGAGACGGACAGACAGAGGAAGAAGGAGGGCAAAGTGGGGGGGTGAAGGGAGCAGTCTGCCGCCCAAAGCCTCCCCCAACCCCCGGCCCGGTCAGTCTGCAGGACCTTGCAAGGCTCAGGCCACCTGCGTCGGAGAAAGACAGCCCCTCGGAGCCCCCTCCAGTTGGGAAGGGGCCGGACCCTGACCCTGACCTTGACCCCATTGGTCCCTCGGTTCAGCTGGCTGAGCCACCTCCCCCCCCCGCCCCCGTCCTCCCCCCCCGTTCCCCAGGTGTAAATATACAAATAGTGTGGAATATTTTGTTCAAATACAGACTTTTTAATCTGGGCCTGTCTTTGTGGTTTTTTTTTCCCAGGGGGGGAAGCTCAACCGGGGGGGGGGGGGGGAGCTCGGACAATGCCCCCCCCCCCCCCACAGCAAGGGAGGCTTAGGCCTGGGCCTGGTGGCTGCTTTGTAGCCTGGGGTGGGGGACCGACTTGGGGGGCTTGTACCCCTGTCTATCGCTCTGCCAAAGGCTGCTCCAAGGAGAGGAAAGAAGGAAGGAAGGAAGGAAGGAATGGGGCACCGCTCAGAGCTGCAGGTTCACAGGCCTCGTCTTCTCCCACTTCCCACATTCTTGGCAGAGATGACACAGACACACATGTACACACACAAACATGCATTCATCTATACACCCATGCTCATGTATACACACATGTACGAACACACACATGCACTCATGTATACACCCAATGCACATGTACACATGCACATACGTATACAGACATGCACACAAACACTCATGTATACACACATGTACACACGCATGCATTCATGTATAAACGCAGGCACGCACTCATGTATACACACATGTATGCACACATGCATTCATGTACACATGCACTCATGTATACACACATGCAAACACATTCATGTATACACACATGAATGCTTATAAGCACACACAAGCACACATGCATTCATGTATGCACACATGGACACACACTCATGTATAAACACATGTATGCACACAAGCACATGTGTACACATGCATTCATGTACCCATGCACTCATGTATAAACACATGCAAACACATTCATGTATACACACATGTATGCATATAAGCACACACATGCACACATGCATTCATGTACACATGCATTCATGTATACACACATGTAGTCATGCACTCACGTATACACATGTACACATGCACTCATGTATACACACTCATGTATACACACATGTACACACATGCACACACATGCATTCATGTATACACACATGTACCCATGCACTCATGTATACACACATGCAAACACATTCATGTATACACACATGTACACACACAAGCACATACATGCACACATGCATTCATGTATACACACATGTACCCATGCACTCATGTATACACACGTACACATGCACTCATGTATACACACTCATGTATACACACATGTACACACACAAGCACACACATGTACCCATGCACTCATGTATACACACGTACATATGCGCACTCATGTATACACTCATGTACGCATGCACTCATGTATACACACATGTCTGCACACACATGCGCTCGCACACATGTACAGACAGAGAGGCACAAGGGGTGGAGTGTGGTGGGAAGGGGGCTGTGCCCCTTTAATGGGGCTAGAACTCTGGGTAGGTCTCCTGGTTGTAGGGCTGCTCCAGGTACTCCCGGACCGGGGTGGTGAAGGCTGCGCACTTCCTGAACGGGGAGTCCACTGTCCGGATGCAGGAGACGCCCTGAGAAGAGGGAGGGGGTGAGAGCCCGGAGGGCCACCCCAAAATAGAAGCCCCTCCACTCCCCTCCCCTCCGGGCATTGTCTCGGCTGCAGGAGCGAAGGGGGTGGGGTGCCATGTGAGGAGCGCGACAGGTGCAGGCGGGGGGGGGGGGGCCGCTCAAGGCCAGCGCTGCGGTCAAGGGCAAAGCTGCCTTGGGGTGGGGAGGGGGCTCTGCAAGGGAGGGGCCACTCACCGGCACCTGCTTGGCGTGCTCCACCCAGAAGGTCTGCGGCTGCTCCAGGCGGTAGTCGTGAGGCTGCAAAGGGCGGCACAAGAGTGACCTTGAGGCCTGGCTGGGGGGGGAGGGGGGGTGGACATAGATGAGGGAGGGGGAGGGTCTGCTCTCACCTTGGTGGGGGCCGGGGGCACGGAGACAAAGTCCTTCCGGCAGAAGTCCCGGTGCATGACGGACTCGGACTCCATGGGGCCCCGGGGGGGCTGGATCTGCTCCCCAAAGACCTCTTTGCTGCGGGGGGGGGGGGGAGAGAAGTGGGAAATCCAATTCATCAAGGAGCAGCAGGTGGACATTGCAAAGGGGACCCACTCCAAAGCGCCCTTGGGGTCAAAGGGAAGAATGCCAAGGGCTAGAAGGCCAGCCTGCTTCACCTGCTACACTCTCATACACAATGAGTATTGGTCCTGGGTTCTCAATGTCATTTCTAGGTACAGTGAAGACATTGCCGCACACCCAAATCCCTGGGAGGAGTCACTCTGGACCGTGCTCTTCAAGCACTGCCTGAACATCAAGCAAAAAGTGGGTGCTAGAAACAATATCATACGAAAGCTGACTGGCACAACCTGGGGATCACAACCAGACACAGTGAAGACATCTGCCTTTGCGCTATGCTACTCTGCTGCTGAGTACGCATGCCCAGTGTGGAACACATCTCACCACGCTAAAACAGTGGATGTGGCTCTTAATGAGACATGCCGCATTATCACGGGGTGTCTGCGCCCTACACCACTGGAGAAATTACACTGCTTAGCCGGTATTGCACCACCTGACATCCGCCGGGAAGTAGCAGCCAATAGTGAAAGGACCAAGGCAGAGACATCTCCAGCTCATCCCTTGTTTGGGTATCAGCCAGCACGTCAATGACTTAAATCTAGAAATAGTTTTCTAAGATCTACAGAGACACGCTGGAACACCTCAGCAAGGGAGAGTCCAAAAGTGGCAGGCTCAAACCCAGAACCTCAACCAATGGCTGAGACCAAAGGAGAGACTCCCCCCTGGGCACACAGACTTGGAAGGCGCTGAAGAGACTGTGCTCGGGCACCACGACATGCAGAGCCAACCTCAAGAAATGGGACCACAAAGTGGAATCCTCGACATGCGAGTGCGGAGAAGAAGAGGCAACCACTGACCACCTGCTGCAATGCAACCTGAGCCCTGCCACATGATGCACAAGGGAGGACCTCCTTGCGGCAACATCAGAGGCACTCCAAGGGGCCAGAGACTGGTCAAAGGACATTTAACCAACTACCAAACTCATAAATTTTGTATTCTGTGTGTTTCTTTGCTTTGTTCTGTTAGAAATGTAATATAATTGACTGGTTGCCCTGACACGACAAATAAATAACAGCAGAGAGGAAACAACCAGGCACATCTTAACACCTCTCAACAAACGATTTTCCCAGGCTCAGCCAGGCCTTCAAATGCTAATGAAGGTGGTCAGTTGAAACATTCCCACCTAGCTCCAGCAGACAAGAGTTCTTTGCCCCACCCTGGTCATTCTACAGATATATAAATCCAATTATCCTAGTTCCAACAGACCTCACTACCTCTGAGGATGCTTGCCATAGATGCAGGCGAAACGTCGGGGAGAATGCCTCTAGAACATGGCCCTATAGCCTGAAAAAACCCACAAGAACCTAGTGATTCCAGCCATGAAAGCCTTTGACAATACAAATAATGTCATTTCCTAATTGATTCTATCATAACGACAGGGAAATATATTGATTTAATTGCCAAAGCTTTGCTTCTGCAGAGGGAGCACGTGTGGCTCTCGTATTTTAATGACTGCCTCGTCATCGAGTTTTGGCCTATTTAGGTACAAAATACACAGTTTTGGAAGTAGAACAACCCCTTTCAATGTCAGGACCCCACTCGTAAACAGGAAACAAACCAGGAACAGTGTGTGATCTGGATTGAGCACCCCTGCAGGACGGTCCTACTGGGCATTTGTCCAGTGGCTGAACAGGCTCAGCGAGGCTGCGGAGGGAGCCAATGGGGTGCGTTCTGGCCCTTGTGGGGCTAGCTCTTGGGCGGCAGGAAAGCCCACCGCTGGGCAGGGCAATGAGGAAGGGTCTTCCCATTCCCAGATTGCTGCTCACCTGTGTTTCTGGTAGAGAAGCCACTCGAGCATGGCCTCGCGCTGCCCTGGAAGGAAGGAAGGAAAGAAGGAAGACAACATTGCCTCTTGCCCATCTACTCAAATAATAATAATAATAATAATAATAATAATAATAATAATAATAAACCTTTATTTATACCCCGGTACCATCTCTCGCAGGACTCAGTGCAGCTTACAAGAGGCCGAGCCCAAATACATCAGAGACAAAAACACAACGACAACAACAATACAACAATAAATAACTCGTAGCAAAGCAAAACAATAACAAAAATATCACGACGCATTTAAAAACCTGTGGCAGGGCCAAAGGTAATGGCTAAAATTTAAAAAAAAAATGCTGGGCATGTCCAGGTGAAATAGGATGGATATTTTAGGGATAAGTGGATGTGCAAACAATTCTAACTCTCTCGTAAAGTGCATTTGGGACATGTTGCTTGGGATTCCTTATTCTGGGAAGGCACACTGGAACATCCTTGTTTTCAGGCTCCTTCTAAAGACTGCCAGTGTTGGGGCATGCCTGATGTCCTTGGGGAGGGAGTTCCAGAGTCGTGGGGCCACCACCGAGAAGGCCCTGTCCCTCGTCCCCACCAATCACGCTAGATATAGGGAGCGTGTGAAGGGCCTCTCCAGATGATCGGAGAGATCGTGTGGGTTCATATACGGAGATGCGGTCACGAAGGTAGGCAGGTCCCAAACCGTTTGGGTTCGTACACAGAAATGCGGTAACGCAGGTAGGCGGGTCCCAAACCGTTCAAGGCTTTGTAGGTAAGAACCTGCACCTTGAATTGGGACCGGAAAATGAACGGCAGCCAGTGGAGCTCCTTAAACAGGAGGTCTGACCGCTCCCTGTAAGGAGCACCAGTTAGTAACCTGGCCGTCGCCCATTGAACCAACTGAAATTTCCGGGCCATTTTCAAGGGCAGCCCCACGTAGAGCGCATTACAGTAGACCAATCTGGAGGTGACTAATTGTTAAGATCTTCTGGAGAGACCCTTCCCATTGCTGCAGTCACAAATACAGTTGGCATCAATGGGGGGGGGGTCTTCCTTCTTTGGAACTTCCCCCCTCCCCATTGAGATTAAAACTGCCCCTTCCTTCCTTAATCTCTTTCAAGAACCGGTTGAAGACTTACCTATTCAAGCATGATATATGCTGGATTTTGTATCAGCAACCCTATTATTATTATTACTATTATTATTGTTATTATTACTATTATTATTGACACAAAAGCACAGTATATCACAGCAAACAAGATCTCAATCCAGACAAGACAGAGGTACTCCTGGTCAGTCAAAAGGCTGAACAGGGCATAGGGTTACAGTCTGTGTTGGACTGGGTTACACTCCCCCTGAAGATGCAGGTTCGCAGCTTTGGTGTGATCCTGGACTCATCGCTGAGCTTGGAACCCCAGGCTTCAGCGGTGACCAGGGGAGCATTTGCACAG